TATGGGCAAGAATAAGAAATCTAGAATTCCTCACGAGCAGAAAAACAATAGTGCAGTAAAATAGCTATAACTCTCATTCTGTTAATCCAATGAAGTTGTAGCTTATACCGTTGTAAAGCTTATGAAATCCTCCACAACTTCCTTATAGAACACTTTTCCAAATTCTACAGTTCCGATAGTCAAAAATAGTCCACAAGAGAAACTGCTCTAGGTTTCATACAGCACAGGTGCATCGTCTTGTGATTTTCATAACTCCATAACCAATATAGCTATCAGGCTGATTTTCTTTTTTTAGAGAAATATGTTGAAGTCTACTATTGTATAGAATTTTCTCATAATTTCTGATCATCCAAAATCAGAGATTTAAACTAAAGAGCGCAGGCTGCTCTAAAAAGACATGATAGAGAAAACAGGAGATAACCAAAACTCAACTATTTATTTTATTAATCATTATACCTTAGGACAATAAGCTAAATGAAATTGTGAGAACACCCAACAAGATCATTACAATCATTACAAAGATTCAAAACAAGCAGAAGCATAATGACAATTCAACAAAGCAATAAAGGTGCACAACTCAATCATTGACTCAACTTACGATACTATCATCCTCATTGTACTAGGGGTAACAATTCTAAGACTCATCTTCAAATTACGCAAGAAGGTGATGAGGGACAGTTCTAAAAGCATGTCAAATTAAGGAGTGAAAATGAGAACAAAGACTTCAAAATAAGCACCAAGGTAGAGATGAATAACAAGGGTAGAGATATAGTAGAGAAGAAAATATCAAGATTTATAGAGCAAGGGTTTTTGTAGAAACTTCTAAACCTTAACACCACCAATTTATACTAGGCTTACGTCCTACAGTCTGCATTGCTTTGATACCACTTTGTAGCACCCGATTTTAAGGACAAAACCAGATACACATCATATGTGAGCCCAGGAAGTCAAATCTCATATATAGCTACAAATAAAGGTAATATCAATAGACAATGCTTAATATATAACATACTTAGTATAAAGGATATAACCTTAGACAGTAAGCAGCGGAAAGACAACTCCGATCTTCGGGTGAAGACTCCAATTCCACAAGGATAACTGACTGGTTGATCACAAGCCTAACTCCTTCAAACTCTAGCAATCTGGTACCCATCCGGGATTTTTTCCAAATATGTGAAAAATAAAGCAAGCGTAAGTACATGTCATACTCAACAAATATAACATGGGGTTCATGAGGCTCAAAAGGCTAACACTGGTTTAACTACGATTAGCTTTTATTGAGTCATGATTTTAGCAGTAGGGTGGCAACAAAATTATCATAAGCCCATAAACACATGATCAGGTAAACATGAATAATGAATAGCATAAACAGTATTCATTAGTGAGCATCTTTATCATTAGTATCATCAGTGTTCATGATCATTAACCATTAATGATCATTTATTCCGTAAATATTCCAAGGCCACTCGTGACCGTGAGCACGGCTGATATACTAGTTTTACATTCTGCAGAGGTTGTACACTTTAACTGTGAGTCATGATTTACCCTTTCATCCGAGATAGCTAATCTCTTGACCCACTTCCAAGGAAGGTCGGCAGGGTTCACTATGAAGCCTTTCAAAGGTTCGTCTAACAAGTTAGGGCCGCTAAGGTTTCCCCATCAATAAGCATGAACCCCCTCCAAGGAGTGACTAACAAAATACCAAGAAACGAAAGTGCACCCTCTTGGTAGGCCGAGATCATACCTGTCGAAGCCCCTCTTGCGCCATAAAGGTAACCACTAACAAGCTAGAAAAAGGTCCTCATACTGAGCTAAAGCCAGAGCCATATAGCCCTCACAGCTGTATTGTAAGTCCCGGATGATCACTTACAGATAAGTACTTAGGGAGAGGAATTTAGAGCATCATAAAATAGCCCAATGCTCTAGCCCCCTTGTTCCATGTTGCTAAAAAGAATCTTTTAGTGTTTATTGCATATATGATTAGTCAAGTTACAAGTTCATGGTCTTTAATTGAGTACTAGCATCATACTACCCAATGCATAAACCCATAGGAATCAAGGTATAAGGTAACAAAGTACTAGGAAATCCTTAGTGGTAGTCAAGGTAGATACATGCAGTATGAATTAAATGATTAAAGGTGTATAGTACAACAAGGAAGATCACATGCTATACTTTCCTTAAAACACCGATCCTTTGGTAAGCTTTAATCTTCAACGTTCTTCTTTTTCTTCTTGATCACCACGTATATCTCACCGACTGGACATAATCGTAGAACACCACACAAACATCCATACACATACATGCATAGCATACAATTACATCTATATTAGAATAGTACACCAGTCATAGAAAAATAAGTAAAAGAGTTTAAAACATGATTCTACGCATCGCTATGAACACAGTCGCGAGAGGCACACTGATCAGAGTTACGGGGATCAAATTATAACTATTCGAAGTTAAGAACAAAATGATAAATTTTATTTCTAAAAATAGTGGCTTACATGTTACTAATACATGGATTATGAAAATACGAATCTAACGCAACTTGAACGGGTCAAATCAGAGTTAAAACGGAGAAACTACGCATAAAATAAGATCAATGGCATTTTTGTAAATATTTGGAAATCAATTTCGTATTAAAAAACAAATTAAAACAAATTCCTGTAGATCTGGTGTCATTTTTGGAAAACTGCAGGGGCTAAAACAAAAAAACTAGGGGCATATGTTGAATTATTTTCAACAGACGGTGAATTACGGGTTGATTTAAGAAAACTGCAGGTCTCTTTAGCAAAACAACTAAGTTGATCTGGTCTCACGTCGATCGCGAGACCACATGGCGACAAAGCGGGCTCTCTGAGTGGTGGGTTCATGGTGGATCGCTGCGTGGCATGCTAACGCAAACGTGTGCTTGGTCTACATCTTGTGCTCATGGACCAAGAGGTATCTTCTAATCCGTGCCATTCGCGATGGATCCGATGGCTGTGAGCATTTGGGGAGAGATGGTTGCCGGGGCAGTTCTCTGGTGCAGCAGTGCCATTGCCGTTGAGTCAGAGCTCATCGGCGTGTATAGTAAAGACTCTATGGCGCTCGTATTGACTTAGGAAAAGCATGGGAGAGGAGCGAGGAGGACTGCGAACTCACCCAGGGTGTTGGTCACGACGGCGGTCGGCCGGAGACGCCACGGAGCTCGACGAGGCGGGCGGTGGCTCGAACTCAATGGTGGCGGTGGCGCTACGAGCTCGGATTGGGGCAGTGGCTTGCACTAGGGCTGGATAGGGGCGGCATAGTGCAGGGCTTGGCTTTTATAGCCGAGGAAGCTACGTGGGCGGCACGGCAACAGACGAGGCGGAAGCGGTGCGGAGTCCCGGTGGTGGAGTCCATGTCAGGGACGACGGAGGTAAGGGACGACCCTGGCAGATGGGCTCGGGTGGTCAGCGATCGCGAAAGGCGGCGATCCGAGCAAAGGAGATCTTGAGCCAGTCTGTACTTGTTTGGTTGGGCCGGCCCACGAGCGGAGCGCAGGGAAGGGGGAAAGAAGAAGCGGGCCAATGACTTCCAGGGGAGAGGGAAGTGAGGCGGGGGAGAAAAAGAGCTAGGCCAGGCCGAAGCGGCTTGCTGGGCTGAAAACAGAGAGCTGGAGAGGAGTAAAGAAATTCTTTTTTCCTTTTATTTCAAAGCCATTTTCAAATTCATTCTGAAAGTATTTTGAATTCATTTTGAATTTTGGATTCAACCACTCATTGCAAGAGACCAAATGCACCCAAGATGTATGCACATCCATGTTATTACTCCTTATGATAAATTTTAATATAATTAAAAAATATTCTTTTTCCTATGTTTGCATGAGCATAAAAAATACAGAATTAAATCATTGTAGCTATATTTCAAAAGAAGAAAATTTTAGAATGTTACACAAACTTTTTTAATGGCACATAGGTATAAGGCTCAAAGGATAAAGTTAGACAAACTAAAAGTGACCCCCTTCTTGTTGTTTATATAAGAAGGTTTAATTGATCTTAATCGTGTCTGCAAGGGCGGCTCATGCTTGATGATTTTTATGAACTTATATGGCTGTATTGTTTCTGTTTTGTGTGGACAGACTGACAGTACCCTATCCCTCCAACCTTTTTTTCTAAAATGTGGGTGTATATAGTGTCTTGAGTTCAGATGTGCTTGTGTTGTGAGTCTGTCAATGTCACAAGATGGTTTCGATCTCAGCTAGTCGACATACATATAGTAGGATACATATAAAATGGTTACAATGCCAAGTTCGCTTCGCTGAAAAGATAGGCTGAAAAGTATTGTTCGCTGATTTATTGTGAGAGAAAAACACTATTTCATGGCTGATAAGCCAGGCTAATAAGCTCATCTCTGAACCTTTGGTGCACATTCGAAATTCAATGGACACACATCATTCAACTCATCTCTTTGTTTAGCTTCAGGGTACTAATAACGTACCTGAATGGTGATCCTTCACTCGTTCTCAGAGCACGCTTTGAATCTAAAACTAAAACGGTCATCAAACATGCTTCCTTGCTGAAGATTGGCTGACTAATTACGCCATAACACACACATATTCTTCCGTATTTGTCTAGGGCCCTGTTTATTTTCTTGTGCTAAAGTTTTGCTCGGCACTTTTAGCCCATGTTTTGGGCAAATGGATCTAAATAGCTTGGGAAAAAAAGAGCAAATCCAGGACTACTAAACTTTTGCCATTTGCTACCCAAGAGGCCCAAAACTAGGCAAAATGCCTAGGGGTGCGAGCTGGATGCCCACTACCCCCGCACCCACCCATCCTGCTTGGGTTCCCTTATCCATTCCCCCGCTCCCACCCCCCGCCGCTCTCGCTCTCTCCCTCCGCGTGAACCCTAGCTTCACCCACCGCTCTCGCTATCACCCACCGCCGCCGCCCAGATCCAGCTCCTCCTCCCCGGCCCCTAGATCCAGCACCTGCTCCCCGACGTGTAGCTCCAGCTTGTCCTCCCCGCCGCCAGATCCGCATGGCGCAGATGGACGGCTACAACTACAGCGACAGCGACCGCACCAGGGACTTCCTATCGCAGCTTGATCCGTATTCCTCCACCGGTAGCTACGACATCTTCTCTGACGCGGCATATCCCTTTCCGAGCTCGAGCACAGTCAGTGCTCCCCAGATGGGCATGGCGACACTCGACCTCAACTCACAAGGTGAAGGGTGGCCTGGAATGGTGGGCTATCAGGGCCTCCTTTGCTATGGCGCGCAAGATGGAGGCATCGGCAGCAGCATGTGCCCCCTGCCATTCACGTTCGTAGCGGTAGTTGTACCCTCGGCTTACACGCGGCTCGCGGTGGCAGTGGAGGAGGTGCCATGGTCGGTCACGCTGTGTCGTCATCCTCCGGTGGTGGCCGTGGCCCTCCCTTGCCTCCTGTGACCACCAGCATTGGTGCCATGCATGGATCTACATTCGGTGTGCTTGCCGGATTGAGGAGCCACGGTGGACGTCGACGACCCTTGACGAGTGCTATTACGGAAGACAACTTCAGCCCCCGGGATGCTGCTGAAAACGACAAGATCGAAGAGATCTTATCGAACACTCAAGGCCCGGTATATTCTCAAACCCAGAAAAATATGATTGGTGTTGGATTTTGCCATCTTCGTAATGTATGTACGTATTCTTGTTATGCATGGATTAGGCTAGAACGGACATGGGAAATTGGTCAGAACCAAATACCAAAATACTATGTGATTTGTGGGTTGACCAAATTAACAAGGGTAACTGCATCAAAGGAACCATGAACAAGATAGGGATGAGGGAGGTAATAGGAAGGTATCAAGCAACAGCCAATTTGGTCCATGATAGGGTGCAGATAGCTAACAGGATTAGGCAACTAAATGTGATAGAACCGCCTAATTTATACATGATCAAGTATGGGTGTCCCCGTTTAACACGTTGACGCGCACATACTTTCACTCATATAAACCCGGTAGTCCGCTGAGTGTCACGAAGGACCTCGGTAAATCAACATTACTACCAAGATCGCATGATTAAGCAAATACACATCACATACACATAGTTATAGCAGAAATAATATAACAAATGGGTTCACAAATAATAGTATAAGTTTGGGTTTTAAAACCGGTTAAGGGAAAACAACATAGCTTTTAAATGATTACATTAATATAAGATCCAAATACATTGCTTAATTGCATAAGAGAATATAGCTTAATTGCCGAAGATAACTGGGCAGGGGACTCTTGCTTTATTTCCATATACGCCTTATGTCCACCAAGGTGATTACCAGATAAGGATTAACTTGAGATTTGGTCTTATGGGGCAGCAACAGGAGATCAAGACTGATAAACAATTAGAGACTTGAGATATTTGGAGATAAAACAAACGAGATTCGAGGGATAGAGCTGATACACTACTCAGAGATTGAGTTGATAAAGCAATGACATGATCTATGAGGAAAAGGTTCCAAGGTTCGGGCAGCGAGAGATTAGCGTTGCACCAGATCATTTGTAGGATAAGGAGCAAAGAGGTCCGACAAGGATTTTTGGGTAGGGTCCTCCCACACAGGAGCGAGACAACCACGACACATGCAAGCATTCAAGGGAACTAAGCTTGGGCTCATGAGTCAAGCAAGGCATGGATACACAACCATTCAAGGGCTAACAATCACACACACCGGCACAAGCTCCTAAGCAAGGAGAATCTATTTGGAGACAACCATGAGATTAACATTACCTGAGTGTTGTTCCTGGTTAAGGCTCTTCAACACTTGTATGCTCACCATGGACAAAAGAGGTAATGACTATGATACTACTATAGGGGACCGTGACGCCTAAGAGGGGGGGTGAATTAGCCAACTTAAAATTCTACTTCTCTAAACTATGGCCTCTTTTTCTACCCTTAGCAAAACATATGCAAAAGATAAACTATCTTAATGTGCAACTAAGGTTTTGTCAATGTGTTGCTATCTCTATCGCAAAAGGAGTAATACAAGCAATGTAAATGCAGAAGCTAAAGAGCAGGGTAGAGATATCCAAACTCCCGTCAAGGACTCCGATATTTTTACTAAGGTATGGAGAAACGCACAAGCTTCCCCCTAGTCCACATTGGAGGCCCTCGCAAGGGCCAAGCTCCCGGTCGGATAACTCCATGGATAGCTTCGGGCCTTCCCCATGCACAAGCGGGTCTCCGATTAAGCCACTCTTGGCAAAGCCTCTCCCGGACCACTCCCCGTCGTCTTCACTATCAAGCTTCTAGCCAAAACACCGTGGGCCTTATTCCCTTCAGTACATGGTGGCGGCCATACCACAAACACTGTTGGTGTGATCTCGTAAGACTACAAGCCCCTCCGATGTACAACAATGATGCGCGCAAGCATCGAGTGGTAAGAGGTATGCAAACCCCACTAAACACTAGGCTAACACCTAGACCAAGCACAAAAGCGCTGGTCTAATCAACCTAAGCACTTCGTAAGGCACCTACGCTAATTACCTAATGAAACACTAAGCACTATGGATGTGGAGATCACTAAAATGGTGTATCAACACTCTAGATATGTTTCCTCAGCTCCACACTTATGAAATGGCTGGTTGGGGGTCTATTTATAAGCCCCATGGAGAAAGTAGCCGTTGGGGTCAAAATCCTGCTTTTCTGCTACTGACCGGATGCTCAAGTCGTCCTGATCGGACGTGTCCGGTCGTCCCGACCGTTAGAGCTACGATCAACTGATCGGACATTGATGGCGTCTGGTCACATGCCACCAGACGCATTTGGTCATAATTTCACCGCTCTAGAACCTCTATGTACTCGATCGGACGCTGTAGTTCTTACATCTGGTTTATTTGTCGCCAGCGTCCGGTCAGTGCTAAGTGTGTTGCCGAGATGGTGAACAGTGTCACCGGTGCGTCCAGTTACTTTTAGTACTTAGCGTCCGGTCGCTACTGCAGACGCCTACTGTTGCTGGGCTCTTGATCGGAGGGCCCAATCGCTCATCTTCCAACGTCCGGTCACTGCGTCCAGTCACTCTGCCGAGCAGTTTCTTTGCGATCTTGCGTACGGCTTGGTTTCTATCTTCGTGCTTGGACTTTGCTTGATATCTTGGGTCTTCTCTTGTGCTTCTAAAGTCTTGCTTAAGGTGTTGATCATCGGATCATCACGCCGCCTTCGTCCAAGTCACGTCTTGCACCCTATTGAACTATAAAACAATCACTTGCAAATTCATTAGTCCAATTTGGTTGTATTGGTCATCAAACACCAAAATCTAAAGTAAATGGGCCTAGGGTCCATTTTCCTTATAATCTCCCCCTTTTTGGTGATTGATGACAACACGACCAAAGCAAGCAAATGATAAATTTTTTGGAATTTAAAAACTATCTGCTTGCTAGGATGCAATGCAAAGGGCAAGGTTATATGATGCCAAAGGATACCAATTGAAGATACCACTTGTAAGATACCAATTGAAGATACCACTTGTAAGATACCAATTGAAGATACCGCTTGTAAAGCTAAACTTATCTTGCCCTTGCAAATGTCCCCATGTGGCATTATAGATTTGAGCCTTGCTTTTGGTCCTACTCTCCCCATTACATAGACTAATCCATAATCCACTATCCTCCCTTTCTCGGACCATTACCACTTGTAAATTATTATGATCGGGCTTGCTTTTGGTCCTACAAATTCTCCCCCATTGGAATCAAACACCGAAAAGGAAGACATTAGTAGCACAAGGGAGGGTCAAACTTTGTGAACCTTTGTATGTGGAGTGGAATAGGTCACAAAATTTGACTCTCACATTACATAGACTAAGCTCCCCCTAAATATATGCATACATATGATGGAGAATGTAGTTAATGCATAATTGGCAAATTAATACTCAAGGGAGTTTAATCTATATAATGCATGGAGAAAGCATATATATATATCAAAGTGAAATCAACATGATGATATCAGATTAGAAATACCACATGTGGAAACCAATTTGATTTATACCACTTGCAATAGGTGGTGGATATTTGAAGCATGATGCTTAACTCTAGGGACTCCATTTTCCTTGTAATGAGACTACTACACACATGAAAAGCTTGAAAAAGTGTTAGTCTCACAGCATCCAGCTTATAGAGTAACCTTTCCCTAAATTTGTGCAGACAAGTATGGAATACTTGTAGGAGATATGCACATTGATTTTAGAATAAAAATTACCAATTGAAAGATGACATCATGTGAATGTGAGAATCATTTTCAAATTCAGGAGAAATTATCTACAATTTAGACTTTGGCACATATTAGATGAACAATAGAAAAACAAGCTATGTGCCGTGCTTCTAAACAATTTAAACTATGTATGTTTGCTCCAAGGGTTAAGAATGAAACCAAACAATCCTACCATATGATTTACCTAGTGTATGCATGACAAATGATATAAGCATGCAAATACAAACCTAGGCATTAAAGGAACTAGATGCTAATTAAGATTGCAAGAATTTAAATCTAATACCACTAGTAGGAAATACTAATTGAAAGAATTTACATCTAGTTACCTAACATGGGAAGGGAATTTGGGTTCATAGTATTCACTAACCCACTTGACAATTGACATGATCCAATGTGATGCACCCTATGAAATGCACCCATACTTAGCCAAGTCTCCAAATTCCCCAAAGTCTATCAAACTTCTCACTTCTCTTTCGGGATCCAAACCTTCTTGGTGCTCTTCATGTTGGAAATTATCTCCTTTGGCACCTAAATGCGTTTGGCCCCATTGTTGACTTGCTTGTTCACCTTGATGGCCACCACCTTGTCATTTTTCTTCTTCTTCAAGAGATAAGGTGTGGATGCCTTTTTGTCCACCTTGTTGGTGTAGGTGTTGGAGAGCTTGCTTATTTGCTTTTTCTCTTTCTTCTTTGCTCCTCCCCCATTCTTCACCTTGAACTCATAGGACTTGTGACATTCCTTGTGGCACACATAGCAAACCACGGTTTGTCCTTCATCAAGCTTCTTCACTCCCTTGACGGTGTTATCTTGATAAAGTTGGGCTTGCTTCATCTTGCCTTTCACTTGAGTCAAGTCCTTGGTGAGGCGAGCCACTTCTTGCTTGAGTTTCTCATTCTCCATTGCAACTTCTTGTGTGCATGTATCTACAACAACTTTCTCAACACAAACTTGGTTGCACATGGATGAGTCTAAGCATAAATCATTACAAGAAGTAGAGGCATCATTTTTAGACATGTTAAAGATAGAACTTTTCTTTTTAGGTGCCTTGGTGGGGGTTGTACCAATGGCTTCAACATTAGAAACTTTATTAGTTAGCTCATCACAATGTTTGCATATGGTTTTCATTTTAGCAAGCAAACTTTTATAAGCATATTGTGAGCTAGCTAACTTTTCTTTTAATTTTTCATTTTTCTTTACAAGTTGATCAT